GAATTTAAAAATAAATTTTTTTTCTAAATTTTTCAGGTTTCCCTTCCCGAAATTTAAAGGGACTAAAGAAAATTTTTTGGATCATTATTTTGCTGAAAATTTAAAAATTTTCCCTAATAAATTTTTTTAGGGGGAAAATTTTAAAATTTAAAAAGCTTTTTTAAATTTTCCAAAACTTTTTCCAAATTTTGTCGAGGGTTTGACCCGCTTAGGGAATTAAGATACGGGTTTTTAAATAGTTTTTAAATTTTGTTTTAAATCTTCTCGAATTCATTTTTTTTTTTTTTTCCCCTCCCTTTAAAAAAATTTTTTTTTTGAAATCAAATAAATTTTGTTATTTTTTGGCGGTCTTTCGGATCTACGTTCCCTTTACCCGCTACCAAAGGGGAGTCCCTTTTGTCTAACCCCCTAAGGGGAGATATCAAAAGGCCCACTACGCCCAAAAAAATTTAAAAATTTTTCCCGTATAGTCGGCCCCTTATATGAATATTTAGACTTAGTCTTTGCCCCACCCGCGCGCACGTCGCAGTATATTGCATTAATAGCAATCAAAACCTCAAAAGAACAAATGATTGATGAAATTATTTTAAAGAAGCTATAGCATTATAGACATATATGTACTGACTTTATGAAGTTATTAATTCTATAAAATTTGCAGGGATGAATACTTTTGATAATTAAAACTGAAACCAATTTTGATAGAATTAAATGAAGAAAATAAAAATTACCAGTAATATTTCTTCCAATTGTATTCATTTGTTCCGCAACTACACCATTTTCTTCTTCATTCTCTTGTCACATGTTACTGAAATATTTGGCTTCAACCTTAATTTTGGATGTAGAAAAAATAAACAAATATGCAATCATGTTATAATTTTTATTTCATTTTAAGACTTCAGTGGGTTTTTTTCTAGAATGGAATGATCAAAATGTATAGTTTATTTAGAAAAATTAAGAATGATTTCTATTTTCCCTCCATATTCTAAAAACAGGTTTCCTGGAAATTTATTTAAAATCTTTTCAGAATACTGGGCTTACAAAATTCATTATTATATGAAAAATTAAAAATATTAAGAACTGTAATTTAATTATAACTTACCATTTATCTGTCACAATTGGCTGCTAATTTCCCTCCATTTTTTTTCAAAATGAATAACGAAGTTTAACACATCTATTATGCTCCATGTTATATATATGTTTAAGTTTCACAATAAATTTTCCAAGAGAGTTATGTATAGCTAGGGTAGTTGAATTCTTAAATCTCATTATCTATATAATTATCAAATCTAATTTTTATATTAAAAATAGAAGTGGTAAAAAATTTATTTTAATAAAATCACAACTTAACCCCAATCTTTCCCCAAAAAAGACCAACCTTCCCTGGAAAAATTCGGGTGTGAAAATTTTCTCTTTATTTTAAAATGCTGTTTTGGGCAAATTTTGCCTAAATTTCCCATTTTTATCCCCCCAGATAGCCCGTTTAAAATAAATACTTTGAAAAAACTGGGATAAAATTCCCCTTGAGGTTTTTTTGGGTTTTTATTAAAAGAAAAACTACCTTAACATTATGAGATTCCCGCTGGGAGATTGGTGAGATGGTGGGGAAAAAAACCCAAAAATATTGAACCCTTAAATTATTTAGGCTGACCAAAATTTTTGCCCTTTTAAATTTTTTTCATAAGTTAAAATTTGGAAAACCCAAAAATTAAATAATTAAAACCCCCTTATAAATTTCATAGATAACAATAAATCATTTTGATCTAAATAATCCACTTATTAATTTTTAAAAAAAATAATAAAAAATAATTCTGAAATGAAAATAATTTTTGTTAAATGGAGTTTACCATAAATCAAGTGATACTTTCTAGAAATAGACATTATAAAACATTTTTCTTCTGAATTTAAAATTCAATTTTGTCTGAACAGCAATGTAAACTGTATTATTACTGTGTATTGCAATATTCATTTCTAATAACTCTAAGTCAGAAAACTCAGGCTGGAAATGAAGAACTTTAAAGAATATATTGAAACTGGTTCTTGAACATTTTCTAACTCTGAAATATCTGGGTAGATTTTGCTTATATGTACCAAAGTCAGTAAAATCTGTGTCAAAATATTTTCAAAGTGCAAATATTCCTGCCTCCACCCTGACTTTTACCAAAATGAAGACGGTGTCAGGGTAGAAAAAACTTGAATTCCTGTGTGAGATTTATTGAAAATTAAGGGTCCATGTCTATTTCACCCTGATTTTGCCAATTCTGGTTCAAAACAGGCCTGAATCGGTCCTGTTTTTCATAAAAGCCATGCTGATTTTTCGTACAGGTACTCAGGGCCAAGTTTTAACTGTATTTATTATTCTACTAGTTTCAGTTGTACGACAACCTTCATCAGGAATTATATTGCAATTCAAAATTGAGCATTAAGCGTACTCAGCTTTTCCGCATCACTTTTTTATTAAACGTTACTATAAATAGATTGTTATTTTGGCACTGTTCCAACTCTAAAATAATTATGTAATTCACAATAACAGACTACCCGAAATACGTCGGTCCGACGGTCATGTTCCGTTAAATTTTGATCAGGTCCGACGATTTTTTATTCCGGATCGGTCAGACTGTCCGGCTTTTATCCAAGCTGCATGTATACAAAATGGCAGCGCTAAAGGTGCCAAACCTGGGAAAATTCGAAAATCTACATCAGAGGAGTGCGCAGAACAGCAATAAAAGGATGAAAAGAATAGACCTGAGACAAAATTTAATGAAAAATGGAAGCAGAACCATGAATCATGGGTGTATGACAGGGAGGAGATGAAAATGCGCTGTACGGAATGTGCTGATTTTTACGGCGGAAAAATTAAAAACAAAAAGTGTCTTAAAAATACAAACACAAGTTTTTCTTTGATTTTGATCAATTTTATTTGGTCTGACAGATTTCGTTTCGGTCCGACAGATTTTCATGGTTTGTCAGACCGAATGTCTGACAGTTTTTTTTAACTTTCGGGAAGTCTGCAATAAAACTATAAAAATATTAGTGTTCATTCTTAGTTAAACATACCATATACTCTAGTATTACACTTATTATTTGTTCATTGTGTCAATGAAACATGGCTGTTTCATCTTGTCAGAATGGTTTCTGTGCTGGGCATTGGAGTCACATGAGGTAGGTCTGGTGTATTAGCTCTGCTTATCACTGGGGTAGGATGTAGCGGCGATACAGGTGTTGTTGGTCTCACATAAGTGATGATGTTGATAGGAATCTCCTAGGTGTGATTTGTTGTTTTCCTGGTCGTTTGCTTCTCGAATGGCTGACCAGTTTTTCCCAAGACAATTCTGAATTAATGAATTTTCATTAAAATTTGGAGCTGTTTAGGGTTTTCTAAGGCTTTGAAATGTACCTTTGCAGACTTTCTGAAATACGTTGGTCCGACGGACATGTCCGATAAATTTTGATCAGGTCCGACGATTTTTTATTCCGGATCGGTCCGACAGTCCGGCTTTTATCGAAGCCGCATGTATACAAAATGGCGTCGCTAAAGGTGCCAAACCTTGGAAAAATTGAAAATCTATGTCAGAGGAGCGCGCAGAACAGCAATAAAAGGATGAAAAGAATAGACCTAAGACAAAATTTAAGGAAAAATGGAAGCAGGACCATGAACCGTTGGTGTATGCATGGAGGAGATGAAAATGCGCTGTACGGATTGTGCCAATTTTTATGGCAAAAAAATTAAAACCAAAAAGTGTCTTAGAAATACAAACACAAGTTTTTCTTTGATTTTGATCAATTTTATTTGGTCTGACAGATTTTGTTGCGGTCCGACAGATTATCATGGTTTGTCAGACCGAATGTCTGACAGTTTTTTTCAACTTTCAGGAAGTCTGGCTTTGATTTAATTGGTTTCGATTCACATTCTACCCTTCTGTAGATCCTTTTTTCGAAGCGATGTATTTTCAGGGAGTGACGCTTTAGATCATTCTTTCTCTTGTACAATCTTTGGCACTATTGACATTGAAATTTTGTTTCCATACCTTCTTTTTGTTTATCATATGCGATTTGTTATGTCAATATTTCTGATATTAAGATGATTCTATATACCCACATTTATCACAAATGAAGCTATATTGTTTCTGAACTGTTTTTCTTCTTCGTCAATCAATTTTAAGTAGCTGTATATACTTCTTTATTTTGTCCAGTCGAAATTGTCTACTGTATTCTAAGATTCAGTTCCTGTGGTGATGAAGGTTTCAATTTTCGAATTCATACTTCTTCAAGGCAAAGTCCTTTGTTAATATCACGCTCGAAATGCTGAATTATTTTTGACGTCAATATCGTTGATGTTATAGTTTACACTATTAAAATGGCGCCAAACTGGCATATCACTTATCGTTATTCCTGGATATGACGTCTCCTAGATGTTAAGATTTGAGATAAATCTGCATATATGTTCCTATTGATTTTCTTTGTAAAAGTATTTTTAATCAAAGGGAGAACCCTTGAAAATATTAATACAAAGGTTATTAACAGATTTAGCTACCTTCTTTTATGTGTTCTGAAAATAAATATTAACTATTTAAAATGTCCTATATAGAAAATATGCCTGAAACATTAAACAACATAATTATCAACAAAGGAATTCATGTAAACTAAGTAGTAACATCAATTATACAGTAATAAATACAATGTAATTTATTTATTTCGTTATACTAGCTTACCCCATAAGGATCATTTCTTATGGCAATTTCAAGCATAATTATTGCGAAGGCATAAACATCACCAGGCATTGTTGCATTGTAATCATATGGGTCAGCATCTCCGAATTCTGGTGCCATGTATATACGTGTACGTTGAACTCGGTAAGCCTTCTCTTCCAGCTCCATTGGATCAGTGATATGATTAAAACGTAAAGTGTTTAATCCAAAATCTGAAATAAAGCTAATTTTGAACTTATTTCTATTTTATTAACTATCAGAAACTGCACAAAATTATTGTTTCAGAGATTTTCCTGGGTTAAATTTTCAATGTATGATAACATTAACAAGAGAAACATATGGGTAAGATAAACACTCAACTAAGATTTTAAGAGACACAATCAAAAATATTTTTCCAAACTGTAAGTATGTTTTTATGTCATAACAATAAGTGATAAGAAATGTCTCTACCAAGTTTCAAAAACCTTAGAGCGTATTTCTTCATAAGTTACTGACCATATAACACATGTGACATTGACCCCGTACTAAACGATCTTAAAATCTAAAGGGGTTATCTACTAGCCATGACCAACCTCCTTACTAAGTATGTGAAGACCTTCAACAGAGCATACATTTGTACTTGTTATTATGTTATTTAGGAGACACTGATATGTCTAATACAGACAGACGGACAATTATGCCACGTCAAGTTACCAACCACCATTTATGCCAGAAATCATATAAATTCATTTTATTTGTGTGAATCACACTTTTTTTATTGGTTTATAAAGCAATATTTTCACTGATCTTGATTTTTTTATCAGAGCCATGTCAAAACAGCTAAATTAACCTGAAATTTTTACTGTCCATCTGTCATCCACTACGCAATTGTTAGAAGTCAGTCGACCATGGATTATTTTCCGAGAATGAAGATATGCCATGCCTCTTGCGATGTCACCCTCAAATGAAAACCTGAGGAAACAAAAATATCAAAGCTTTTTACATCTTAACAGTCAATGAATTAAAGATTTTTAATTTACTAGCCCAAATTCCAGGTTTGAATTTATTGTACTATATGTTTAACTAAATTTTCTTAAAATTTTCACTGGCCCAAACTATATTTCACTGGCCATGGGCCACAGGGCCAGTGCTAAATTCGATGACTGTCTTATCCTCCAAAAAACTCTTTTGATAAATGCAGATTTATTCACATAAGAATTGTGTGCCCTTTTTAATTTAAAATTAACAAAAATTGTGCTTATTTTCCCCTAATCTAAAGGAAAGGACTCCTAAAACCCTAAAAAATGTCTGAATGTGAAGTATGTTTTAAATATATATAATTATTATCCTATTAATTCATGAAACAGTAATCTATTAAAAAATCTAGCTTCATCATAGCAATGCTTGAAGGAAGATGTGGTATTTGTTGACAGATGGTTTAACAAAGGAGGTACATTTGCCCTCACTCCCACTGATAAGTCCTGAACTTTGGCCTCAAGGTTATAAAACTTTTTACTGAGCTTTTGTCATGAATCTCAGAATTTTATTGGTCAGGGTAACATACCTCAAAATGTGGTCTCTTACCTAAGGGAAAGGAGTGTAAATTAAGTGCCTTTTGTTATTTACAGTGCAAAAATGTGCATCTCCAAAGATGCAGTCAGTCTGTGAAATAAATACCATAATTAATTGATTTTATTTTTCTTCTAGGATTTGAATTAGAAAGTCAATGTGGTGACATGTCTTTTTTTTTAAAGATCTAAGTTCAAATTAAAAGTAATAAAATCTAGTATAAAACTCAAAAAAATTACATTCTTTTTGAACATTAAAAGGTCTTAGGAGCACAAATCAATGACAAGTTACCTGAAAGCCCAGTTGAGTGGGACCTCCTCATTGAGCAGAACATCTGAAAGACTTCCCTTAGGGCAGTACTCACACAGTATACACATGTTTGGAATCTCGATGCAGGCACCAACAAATTTACACAAATTTACATTGTCACATTCTCTGGAAAAAAGTACAAAAATTTCCTTCTTTATATCATTTATACAATTTTTTTTCAAGAAATCTTGTGTATGAAGTAAAATTACCATGTTTCATGTCAAAATTTATGAAAGCAGTTTTAAGTTTATATTGAAGTTCTATGCATTCATTTCAGGGCATTTTTTGCCAAAATTGTGAAGGGGCCTGGACCTGTTCATTTTGTGAAAAAAAGCGAGATTTGTCATAAAATTGTGAAAAAAATTTCCATATTATTTGGCATTTAGCGACATTATGAAACCGGAAAATCTCCTTCAAGTCGGTACTTAAACCCTTAACCCGATTAACATGTGCTAAAACCATTTAACTTGATTAAAACTATTTCTGTGTTCTTGAAATTGGCGTTAATAATGTTTTACCAGACGGTAAACAATGTATTTCAAAGACAAAGTCCCAATATTTTGTGAAATTTCTTTTGAAATTGTGAATTTTTTTCCGCCACTTTGTGAAAAAAAGTGCAATTTTGAATTGTGAAGGGGCCTTATATCGGCCCCTGTTATAGAAGGAAAAAAAGCCCTGCATTTTTTTCTCTCAATCTTTTGGAGGCTACAGTAGGTCCCCTAATCGAAAAACATTTAAGTTTAAATAATTATACATATTTTAAGGAAAAAAGATTTTCAGAAAAATGGGAATGCCGGTCCCGTATTCAAAACAAGGAGGGAAAACATTTCTTGAAGTAACTGGTTATCATTTTTTTTGTGAAAAAGTTCATGAGATTCTAAAAGTGAAATTAAATACACAATTTTATTTCACTGAAGTCAATACTGTGGACTTGAATGAAATTGTAGCAGTACTGACCTGATCCATGACAAATTGACTATTGGCTAAATACTTCCAAAAATGGAAGCCAGACAAGTTTAACAAATTCAGCAGGCTAAGGTAAACTTTGCAGGTCAATATTTTGTAGATATTAAAAAAAAAAAAAAAAAATAAAAAATAAAAAAAAAAATTATATATATAAAAAAAATATTTCAGACAAATCATACATAAATTGTTTGGTCTTTCTTGGTTTCAGTCTTGCTAAACAATATGTTCCTGCAATTATTTTAAACAAAAGAATTAATTATTCTTGTAATCTTGTTTTTCCCACCCTGCCACCCAAATGCTTCCTTGGAAAATAAGGATCAATTTAAAAGCTAAAGTATCAGTTTACCTTATTTCTCTGACTTCCAGACGGACTTTCTTTGTAAGACTGAAGTCTTGTTTAGTAACAGATCTCACAGCACATGTTCTGCCATCACTTTAAATTGACAAATTTACACTTTCATTGTATTATTTAATAACATTATTATGAAAGAAACATAGTATTACAACTCAATCTCTTTAAACTCATAACTTTTTACTATAGTAAACAAAACTAACAAGAATTTATAAAAAAGCCATTAAAATTGTTACCAACGTCCCTCAAGTTTTCCATGTTAACAGACCAATGTTAAGCTTTGACCCCCAAGTTTTACATCCATTTAAAAGCCCCTTAATTTTCCATAGCTGCATTGTTGCGTATACGATATCATGTACAAACATTCATTTCAAAAGGCAGCGAGTGATTGATTATTTCCATTTCATATCAATTTGTAATGTCAAAATCTTATGTAAAAAAAAAAATTGCTAAAGTCAAAAGAAAAAACAAGAAGTTAAATTAGACACCTGAAAATTACAAAAAAAAAGACATCAGGACAGATTTATACCAGTGACTTTTCTTACTTAATTTGGAAGAGACCTAAACCTCTTGATTTGGGGAAAAAATAGTGCCAAAAATGATGATTTGGGAAGTAAAAAAGCTGGTTTAAGTTCAGATGTTTGGGAAAACACAGTGTCTATTCTAGGAATTCAAAAAAAGGGGTGATTTTCCCCCCTCTATTTCAAAAAAGGGGGCGATTTTCAAAAACAACGGGTTCCAATATAAACTGCCAATATTAAATCGTCTGCATTAAGTTTACACCAAGACATTCAGCCGATGAAATAATTAAAACGAAATATTTATGTAAGGCAGCAGAAGTTGTCTCCCCTTTTTTTAAAAATGAAAACAAATTATTTTAGACCTGTCGCAATTGATTATAAAGGGATTGACAATACAAACAATCGACCTATCTTATTGATTATAAAGGGATTGACAATACAAACAATCAACCTATCTTTCCTGTCTAGATCGTAGCCAAGCTAGGAATTGTCTCATTTTTCTTGATTTTTTACTACACTAAAATGGCTTGATTTTTTACTACACTAAAATGGCGCCCAACTGTCAGACATATATCACACTAGTTCCGGTCGGTATGGAACATTCCGTTAATTTCCGTCAACTCAAGTAACCAGTACCATACGGTACTAAATTATCATAATTAGCTAACAGTTACCTCCCTTCGGTTTCCGATGTAAATGTAAACAAAATGCGGGATGGAAGTTTTACGATTTTATTAACTTTTTTTATAGATGGGCGATTTTCACGCACATGATTATGAATTGTGCGCAATCTGTCAAATACTAGCGTGGATCACGCAATCGCACGTCCTAGAATAGACACTGAAAACTGCACGATTTTTAAGAATTAAGATTTCAATTGGGAAGAGACCTTTTTTCAGAGTCTGTTATGTAAGTAGGAAAATCACTGTATACATTGTCATTCTCATCAACCTTCAGGAAATAAAAAGTCAATTAGGTCATTTACTTCTAAGAGTATGCAGCATTATGTAATCAATGTATACTTACTATTGGCATGTCTGTGCAAACACTTGTTTTCCTCCTGTTTGCATTACACTAACACCACCTTCTGACTGTTTCTTATTTAACTCTACAGCACTTCCTATCATACTACCAAAGGCTCCACGCAAACCTTCATCTATAAAATGTCATTAATGTACTCACTTAGTTAAAAAATTGAAAAGACATTCATATTCAGATGCACTTTAATTTTCACCTTATACAACAGTGTCCTAATTATAGCACAGGCCTCGACAAATCCACTAATGCCACTTGCATTTGCGAGTGAAAGTTCGGGTCGCCAAGAAAAAAATAATCAAACTCGTCTGACAAGGGAGAATAATTCTTCTGATCCAAATGAGCCATGTCACCACAAAAGCAACATAATGACCAGCATGAATCCAGACCAGCCTGGGCATTTGCGCAGTCTGATCAGGATCCATGCTGTTCGCTTTCAGTTTCTCTACTTGTAATGGACTTGGTAAGCCAACAGCATGGATCCTGATCAGACTGCGGGGATGCGCAGGCTGGTATCGATCCATGCTGGTCGCAAACCCATTATGTTGGTTTTGTCATGACGCGGCTCATATGATGTTCCTCTAAACATTTAAAATAAATGAAGTTTTGATGTGAAATCAATCAAACTGCAGATACGGGCAGGAATTTCAACTTTAATACTGTTATTGAATGAGATAACGAAATTGCCCTTATGACTAAGGTATAAGACTTGACTGAACACGTATGAAGCATCAGTTTCATAACAGCAGCATTTGACGAAGTTTTATACAGCACATAAGTATTCAGTAATGTCTACACTTAGCCCTAATTAGGTCATTATTTTAGCTTAGTGGGCACATGCATTAGAATGAATGAAATAAGTATTCAAGCTTATGTTGAAGATAATATAAAAAGAATGAAAAGTATTATAAACATTTTTTACATTATGCAAATGAATAAAGCCAATTTTACCCATAATAAACAGTAAAAAGTAAATTAGAGCCTTTTGTTTAATTATTACAATTTTTTTTGAGTACATTTCATGAAGAGCCAAAAAATTTTAAGGGTCACTTGCCTGGCCTCTTAACACCTCCTCCCATTGAAACTTTTCTTTAAAATCATGCAACTTCCCAAAATATTTAAACGTAAACAAGCTACTTTCCAAATTTGCAAGTTAAGTGATTATTTAAAAAAAACAACAACAAGAAGTTAACTCTTCTTCCTAATTTACTAAATTAGTGACAGAAACCATGATCAGAGAATATTCAGTATAAACTAATATTTTACCTAGTTTGACATCTTCAAATGGTACTATCCATGTCTCATCCCAAAGTAACTTTCTTCTCTGCCAAGCAAAGTACTGAAATCATAGAAATAACATTAAACTCACTGTTAATGTCATCTATTCATTTCATAGAGAAAATAACTAAAAAATTGTGCAACAAAAGGAAGTGCAAACTATCAAATAACTTTATACTGGACAAATAAGACAGCCATAAGGTAATATTAACACAAGTAAAGAAAAAAAAATCTAAGACATTCAAAACTGTACTAAGAAAAACAATGATTTTTACGATTTTTCTACAGTTTTGTAATTTTGAACATTTTCCTGAAAATTACAGAATGATGAGTTTTCTCACTTCATTGACCTTATAGTTTATGATCTTTGTAAATTAAGCATGGTAGAAAATCGGATTAATGTGATTAATACTTGTAGCTTATACTGAAAATGAAGTGTGTTAGTTTGAATTACAAGTCACATCAACACTGTTTCAAGGTCATTCATTGACTTTCCAATTTACTGTCAGGGGAAGATTTTCTAATGACTATGGTTTTTGAGAAAAAGTCTAACAAGGGTAATAGTAAAGCAAAAAGGTTTTCATCATTATCTCTCCCTACAAATGCATTTTATATTTGAAAGTGAACAAGAACTACAATTTGAAGTAAATATCTGTGATACTTTTTGAGAAATTTACCCGAACAAAAGACCAAGAACCAAGAAATTCAAAGTCTTTTTTGGGTTAGGTTTTGTTTGGTTTAATCGCAAACCAACAAAATTTAGGTCATAAGGCACTCAAACAGGAAAGATGGTTTTGGCTAACGTATGGCGCTATATACTTAAAGCTACACCAGGGGTCAAAACCACCCCACAAGCTGGAGCTAAAGGTTGGACTGACTCAATTGGGAATTCAAACCCAAGGATTAACTGTAGCTGACTAAGCTGCAATTGAATTCTGAATTTTCAAGTCCTAAAATAACTTATAAAAATAAATTAAAACTTTATCTACCATTTAGTAATGATTTCCAATATAAAACTGAAAATATATTTCACGTCTTTTTTTGTATAGCATAAAGCAATAAATATTGTAATTGGTTAATAAATTTTATCTCTGTCATATAAATGTTCTGCAAATCGTGGTCGACTCGCCCAGGAAAAACCAAAAACAAAAAAACCCTTTTAAAGTTTTTTAATTGATTTCAGTGTTATTTAAGTGAAAATATTTTTGGAAACCTGTGCCCATTTGCCATCACAGGAATGTGACTGTCAAATACCACCGAATGTTGGGCCACATCCTTGCAAAACATTTAACATTTATACAAAACGATGCAAAATGTCTACACTATGTTTCCGTTAAAAATTAAACAATACATTTTATTTAGGCAATGCTAAATGTATGCTTCTAAAAAAATTGTACTTTTCACAAAATAATTTTGGCATTAAATTTGAATGTGTGAGTGTCCCTAAGAGTTCCTCGCTAGAAACTGATTTCCGAATATGAAAATCCCGATTAAATACAGCTCGAATCATTCGAGTGAACAAAGAATGTACATAAACTGGTTTTGTATTAAAAACGCTAGTACAAAGGTACTCATCTATACGTTGTAACGATGAGTACCAAATATTATCTCTACCAGACCATAACTGCGACAAATACAAACTCAATATGATAATTGATTTTTTTTTTTTAAAACACAATACATTAGAGATTTCAAAGAAACTCACCCCATATATTCCAGCTATTGTGCCAATAAAAACAACCCCAGCAGCTGCAATAAGTCCAATTTCCCATGTTTTCAAGGGACATTTACCACAATCTTTTGGGCAGGTCTCGCAATTTTCACCCTCAGTTGTTTCACAATTAGAATCACCGCACACTGGAAATTTAAGATGATATTGTGTTTAATTGAAGCAAATTCACAGATCGGGAAAGTGCTTTTATCACATAGGAGGAACTGTTACACAATGGATAGAATTCTGTCTATGAGAGAACTACCACAGAGTGTGCCTGAAAATATTTGAATATGCTACAGAAACACTCATCAAAATTGGTAATTTTCATTTTTAAAAAGGGAGTTTTAGGTGCTAAATTAAACTTTAATGATATTAAGCTTGCCCTTCATCTTGTATTATGTGTATTTAAAGTCCATTTTTCATCGCCTCTTGTTTAAAATCTGAAAGTTTTCAAATGATGTATAGTTCTTGTGATAACTAAGTTTTGTTTCTTGAACTTCTTGATCTAAATCAGGACATGTTTAGTAGTGTTGTCCCGATTGTCTCTGAAAATCGATAACTAATCGGACCACCCAAAAATCGGCAACAATCGATAGTCCTTTTTAAAAATCGATTATTTGAATGTTCTACCACCGCTGAATTGCCTATACTATATTGTTAATACTACTTTAGAAAATTATAGTGTGTAATAACATTATATTATAAACTTACATATCTACTGTAGTTAAATTAGTGATCTACAATATTTTGACCTATTGACTAGTAGTAGTACATTTGTACTAATATTGACTGCCATAAAGTTGTGTTATACAAAAATTGCCTGTTACAAAGTTTGTGTTGTTTGTTTTGAATTCAAAGAGTAAATCTTACTTTAATCTTGATGACAAGAGTTTATTTATTCTCAAAATGTGGTCACTACTGTATAAAAAATACATAATAGGATTGGTAGCTTAACAGAGAAAAGGGCCATAAAAAATGCAAAACTTGATTATACTATCGGCAGACAATCGATTGTTGTGGTCCGATTATCGATAGTGATTTTTGTGCCCGATACCCAACACTAATGTTTAGCATTTTTTATAATTCAAAAAGACTGCATGGCTTTTTTTCACAGGTTGGGGAAGTAGCCTGAAGCCCTTTATTTTTGGGAAAAATTACATGGTATATTTGCAAAAGGTGAAGAAAAAACTTGATGTAAATTCAATTTTTGGGGAAAACTGCATGAATTTAAAAGAATTTTTCTTTGGGGAAGCAGCCTTTTACCTGTCCCTATAATAGAAGGAAAAAAAAGCCATGGGTTGTAAATTATTATTAAATTTTTAATACTGGTTTTCAGAAAATTGTACAGCGGTACGAAATTTACTTTTTTCATATTGCAATACATGGGTATACAGTGTCTATTCTAGGAATTGAAAAATAGGGCTGATTTCCCCCCCTCTATTTCAAAAAAGGGGGCGATTTTCAAAATCAAAGGGTGCCAATATAAACTGCCAATGTTAAATCGTCTGCATTAAGTATACACTGAGGCGTTCAACCAATGAAATAATTAAAACGATAATATTTATCTAAGGCAGCAGAAGTTGTCCCCCCTTAATTTTCAAACGAAAACAAATTATTACAGAACTGCCACAATTGATTATCAAGGGATTGACAATACAAATAATCGGCCTATCTTTCACATCTAGATCGTAGCCAAGCTAGGAATTGCCTCATTTTTCTTGATTATTTACTACACTAAAATGGCGCCCAACTGTCAGACCTAGCACACTAGTTCCGGTCGATACGGAACATTCCGTTAATTTCCGTCAACTCACGTAACCAATACCATACGGTACTTTATTATTATAATTAGCTTACAGTTACCTCCCTTCGGTTTTCGGTGTAAATGTAAACAAAACAACCAAATATAATGTATGATGGAAGTTTTACGGTTTTATTAACTTTTTTTATAGATGCGCGATTGTCACTCACATGATTTTAAATTGTGCGCGATCTCTGAATTACTAGCGTGAATCACGCAATCGCGCGTCCTAGAATAGACACTGGGTATACTGGTAAACTGTTACACCCTCATAGGTTAACTCCTATTACATCTAAACTCAATAAACTCAATGCCGCACAAAAAGGTGACAAATTATATTATATTACTTGTTACCAATGATTCCATGACTAAAAACAGTCTTTATGATACTATTTTGAAGACTTTATTTTAAAACTTTAATCAATTTTAAAAGCACTATGATATTATGTGAATTTTACAATATGCTAAATTATAAGTGTTACCTTCAGCAAAAATTTGAACGGTTTTGGCACCAAATGGATTCATTTGTTGAACCATTACAAATGCAGTTACAAAGGTTGTCCTTTCCCTTTTTGAACACATTTTCACACAAATTTAAGCACTTTTTAAGCGACCTTTTTAAGACGGTGTCACCAAACTCAAGAACTTTTTGTTTTGACTTAACCCCTTTTATAGGAACAATTCAAACTTTAGCACTTTTAATGACTTTAAAAACCCTGTATCATAATGATAAATCACTGTAAATCTAAAGCTATCATCTGAACAAAGAACACAACATAACTACCTGTTCTTGGAAGTACTTTAATTGTTGCTTGAAGAGCCAGTTGCATATTAGCAATCTTGAAATGAGCAATGAGATCTGTCAACCCATCCGTGGCTATACCAGGTATAAGACTTGTCCAGTTTCCTTGATCTATTGGTCCAACTAAAATACAAGTACAACACTCTTATAAAACCACTGAGCATTTTTTATTTTGGCAAATATAAAAATATGCTTCAAGCTTGTAAAAAAAATGAATCCAATTTGATCAAGGTAATTTTTTTTTTAAAAATCAGTTTGCTTTCCATGAAGCTGGCACACTTGTTTTATTCATTTTTAATATTCTTGCTTATCACAGGATTTTTCTATTTGCTTAAAAGAAAATGAGTCTTAAAAAATTCAAAAGCAATATATATTCACAGCCCTTCTTGACATTTAGAATTTAAATCAACTTAAAAAAAACAAAAAACAAAAAAAAAAAACTTTTGAATAAAAAAGTTAACCTGAAAATTCTAGTTTTTAGACAAAAGATTTTAGATGTTGACCTAAAGGAAGTTTGCTTATGATCAAATGCAATAACATTTTCTTTACCATTTGTGACATTGTGAAATTTGCCAACAACTACATTAAATTGTAAAAAGAGGCCAATTATACCTTTAACAGCCGAGTGAGTGTATGTAGATCCATCATGTTTCAGCCATGGACCACATAGTCCTCCTTTTTCTTTGGGACAAGAATGAACATTCACGTGATGTACACAGCAGTCAGTCTTTTTTATTGTCCTACCATCTGTTGGACATGACGTGTCTTCACACCAAGTTTTTGCCTTTGCTTCAGTGCTGAAGAGTGAATTCAATATTAATTTTTTTTAATAGAGTTACCAACGTCCCTATTAGGGAAGTTTTATACAGAGCCAAAACACCATTTTTGGGGAAAATATGCATGATTTTGGCATACTTTGGGAAAAGTGGTCTCAAATTTAACACAAACTTTTAACAAGTTCTTCAAAACTAGAAAGTGAAAAAGCACTGGGAAATACTAATCGGGCAGTAAAATACCTTTATTCAACACCATCATTAAATTTTGTTCGAAATTCTATGGTAAATTTCAAAAGACTGGGGGATTTTGAGGACCAAGCTGGGGATAAAAAGAGGCTAGTTTGGTTGGGGGCTTAGTAGCCTATATTCGGCCTCTACAAAGAAGGGTCTTTGGGTATATGAAGTCAACAATTATATTAGTAATTGGATAGTGTTTAGATATTAGGGTTTCTTAATCGGACAAAAATCATAATCGAAAATAATCGAACAACCTTTTTCGATCAATCATCGATTATATAAGCGAAACATTTATGATAACAAAGAAAATATGTACAATGCACATATCATGCTTTAATATTTATAAGAATTCCATTAATATTCTATATTTTGTGTAACTACCACTTAATCAACTGAAATAAACTAGTAACTCATGCTTATGTTCATCCTTGAGTAAAATATTTTAATCAAATAAATTCATTATATCTATGAAATTATTATGTCTCAATCCAATAAAGGAATGAATAAGCTATGTATTGGAACAAGAGAAGTTGGTCATTAATAAAAATGCCAGGTTTTTTTAATGTCGTATACTTATATTGTAACCATTTTTAGTTTAGTGTGTAGAATAATTTTAAATTTTAGTTTAGTGTGTAGAATAATTTTATACATATCTTCTTTGTTTGAAGTCAAAACATGTTTATTTCATATTTACAAATAGACTGTGTAGCAATTTTCTAATTTCAAATTTGAGCATAGTATGTCTGTAAACTTAAAAATGCCTCACTGTCAACTATTAACCTCATGGTCACCAGTATGCTTTCTCATTCATTTTAATGAAAATTATTGGGTAAACCAAAGCTGGCTTTACTTTAAAGTGTTGTTATAATACAGTGAGTCACTTAAGTAACAGCAAGAAGATAAATAACCGATGATCGATTATTGAACTTTATATTCGATCATCGCTAATCGTTCGTATAAAGGATCAATTATCGATTATACTCGATCATCGTTTAATCCCTACTAGATATTGTCTAGTGCAAAATCTTGATATATGCTAGATCTGCACATGCAACAATAAATTTGGAAACATTTGATCTGATGTCACACACTTATGAATACCAGTATTTTATTTATACCTGTACACACCCCAGTACTACCAAAATTTTTATTCACACTTACTCCAAATCTCCTGGACCAACACCAGTGAAATGACCATTGTCCACTGCCCATTTATAGAAACCTGGTTGAACCTGCAGGAAGTAAGTAACATTAAAAGGATCCTGTGCACGCATTTCATCTGGTGGCTTTAGCACCCATTTCATTTTGAAGTTTTCTGAAAGACAATTGAAAGATTGCTTTGAAGCATGAAAATTGTACACGATATCATCATTAAACAAATTGTTAATAAAAAAAGCGAAAATGACTGAAGCTTTGAGCAATCAAGATTTACTTTTATGTCAGTTAAAAGACCTTTAATTTTTGCATATCACAGTCAATGAATTTTAGCCAGAATTCCAGTTTTGAATTTATTCTTCTTTATATTTCCCTAAATTTTCTTAAAATTTTCACGGGCCTGAACTAATTTCCACTTGCCATGAGCCATCGGGCCATTGATAAATTTGATGACTGTTAGTCATTAACTATGACCGGAATTTCATCCGGCATGAGGAGGGTGCCAGATGAGTCTCATGCTATACAAATCAAATGGCATCATCTTGGCACATTTTAAAAACAAACCAGGTCAAAATGGCATGTCATTAAGAATGAAACTGCTTGCCTATAAGATGACGTCATTAATATAAATAGAATTGTAAATTCATAAACTATCTGTTAATGGTTCATATACTAGCAATATCTATCCCTCAGCAGCAACTGCCATTACGGCCCTTATATGGGCATATACCCAGTCAGGAAGGATACATGTATTCCGATCCGAACAGCAATATATGACAGATATTATTATCATGCAATACTTAATAGGTTTACCCCCACTTTCAAAATGTTTAATTCAAAATATAGTTTACCTTCACAATGCTCATCATTTAGAGGATTTTGATTATCCTGTGATGCGGTTAAATCCCAACAATGGAATCGATAATTGTTGAAGCCATGCCACCCTTTCACATAATCAATTCTGCTAAACACCTGGAAGATAAGATAAAGCAGGTATAAAGCATATTTACATACATGTAGATCAGGAAATCATTCTATAAAATATAAATAGAACAAGTAACATGCTTGACACACTGTAGGCCAGGCTATTTGGACTTTTGTAAGACAAAAAGTGTTTACAAAATTTATAAATGTAACTTAGCTTTAACCAAATACAAAATTTTCATGAAATTTCTTCTTTATATATTACTACAACCTTAAAGCAGTACTGTTCCCATTAGAAAATAGACATTAAAATACCCAATTTCCAATGTTAAAATTCCCAAAATGACTGTTCAAAATTCCCACAAGGCCAAGTGATTTCTCTGAAATCATTTAAATCCAACATATTCATATAAATCACCACTAAACAGTTCTACGAGTGTACAGTGGAAGCTGTTAGCTATCTTTATTTATGATGACCAATCTTATTTGTAGCTGAAAAAATGCTGAAAAAATTCCCAATTTAGGTCGAAAGAACGCATTTTTTTCCCAATCAGTCTGGTGAACTACCAGCACCATTCCCATAGTAGAGAAAAAAAACCCTCTGTTCTAAAGGGCTGCAAAACAGCAAATTGCAAAAATCAAGGAAAAATACGCTGCGGGGACAAAGGGGGCTGCGTAAGCCCCCTTGCAGTGGGCCCCAGGGGGCAAAAGCCGCCTGAAGCTCCTGGATTCTGATGATTTGGTATGCCCTGAAAAATCAATTTCCTGGACTCTAAATTTGACTTCCCTGGTTGCCTTTAAAGCCATTCAGAGACACTTTAGTTTGGACCTTCAAGGTTTCATCAGCCCTTAAAAAACAACGAAAAATACCACATTTTGACAAACAGACAAGAGTGATTGACCAATAGAAAAGCGCTTAGCCTTACAGACTTACCATAGGCGGCTAGCGTAATGATAAAAGCCATAGTGTGCCGGTTTTTGGGTACTGTATAAAATATGACAAATGAATTTATTGTCTTTGTCGAATCTACATCGATCTTAAAAATGACCCAGGAGCTTACGAAATCCGCGGATTTCCGCGAATCCGCGGAAAATCGACAGCCCTGGTTCTTTCAAGCAATTATTTAAATTAATAAGTTTACCAGTGCCAGTTCCGATCAGCTAAAATGCTCTTTTTACATGCTAGACTTAGAATTACTCCCTTATTGTCTCAGGTGTAGAATTTAATGTGTCATTGCGACAATGCAGGAACTTTAATAAACCATAAAAAAATGTGTTTACATGACAGAAAAATTAAAGTCAAGAGTAAAATAGTGTTGTTTTTTTTTCTGTGTTAATAATGCTTATGTGTTAATTAACCCATTTACTTCATGAACATTTCATGAAAAATGGCTGTTTTCATTGAAAAGTCTCCCGTTACAAGTTCAAATTGCTATAATACTACAAAAACTGCTTCAACACTAATCAAACTTGGCACAAATGTTGACTGGACCATATTGCCCTTGCAACAACATGATCAGGCTTAAATTTTCTGTTACCATGGCAACGAGGGGACATCTTAAAATTGCCAAAAGTCACTATTTTGCATTGATTTTTTCCATCAAAATTGATTTCAAAGTGCTGCAACTTCTCAATGGATTGAGATAGAGTCAAATGCTTTTCAAGTTATTGTAAGATAAGTCAAACTTTTTTAAATAACAACATTTATTGAAAGTTAATTGGCCACAAGTTCTTTATTGAACTGACGAGAAACTGTATTTAAATAACAACTTTTCTTAATAGCTAATTCCATAATTTCTTTTTTGGACAAGTCCGACGAGCACAAATTTGCAAGATTTAATAATTCAATACTGGAATTCAGGCCAGTAAATTTAAAATCTTAAATTCAATGACTGTTACTTGCTCTGTCTTCCTTTGAGATATTGAGTACCTTTGTTATGGTCATTGGGTAATTTTATATCAAAATATCATTTAGCCCAAAAAAAATTTTAACTAGCCCAAAAAAATTTAAAAAAAAAAAAAAAGGGTTGGGGGGCCCGGTTTTTTCAAAATTTTTCTTAAAATTTTTTGAGAAAAATTTTAAAGCAAAGTGAATTTTTTATTTTTATTTGGGCCCTTTTTTTTGTGGGTTTTTTATAAGGGAAAGGGGTTTTTTTTAAAAGTAGGGCTGATAGTCCCAAATTTATCCCCTCTTGCATCAAAAATTCTCAGGAAAAAAAAAACAATATGCATTTTTCTTTGGTTTAAAAATAAATTAAAAAAATTTAGGGATAAAAGATTTTTTACATTTTTATATTAATTATTTTGAAAAAAAACCCCTGGGTTGGGCCCAAAAAAGCTTTAAAAAAAAAAAATATTTTTCCAAATCATTTGTTAATATTTTTTTTTATTTTTTAAAATAAGGATTTTTAAACGTTTAAAAGGAAACCCTAAAAAAGGTGGGTTTTTGGGCCCGGTTTTTTTAAAAACATTTACAGTTTCTTATGCTTGGCCCAAAAAGGGTTTCCCAAAAATGTGCCAATTTTTATGTGTTTCCCAAAGATGTAAAGTCTTTCCCCCCTTTTTTTTTGTTTCATTTTTCTGTTTTTTACGACCCCTTTTGTTTTTGTGTTATTGTTGTTTTTTTTTTTCAATTTTACCGCAAGGGATCTTACCCCTTTTTCCCCTTTGGTTTTTTTTTGTTTTTTTTGCTCGAAAATTTTTTTAATTTTAAAAAAGGGGGCTATCCACCCGCCCCCCGGTCCTACCCCCCCTTGGTTTAAAATTTTTTCGTTTCCACCCCACTTATTTTAAAAAAATATTACAAAGTATGGCTTTTAAACTTTTTCCCTACCTTTTTTTCAAAACCCTCATTTAAAAACCCCCAATTTTTAAAAGGGGGCAAGAGTAAAATAAATCTGTCAAGGTTTTGACAGAATTATGGCCCTTTTTTGACTTAGAAAGTGTATTGAGCTTGGTTAAGTTTTTTGTACCACCTCACTTTATTTCAAAACCATTGGAGGTATTGCTTTGAAACTGACCATACTTGTTTACCATCACGACCTTCATCAACAGACAAGAGGACATAACTCTGTCAAGGTTTTTGACAGAATTATGCCCCTTTTTGACTTAGAAAATACATTGAATATGGGTAAAATCCACTTATTGCCTTAACCCTTTGAGATATTGCTTTGAAACTTTTAATGCTATTTCACATCATTACCCCCATCTGTACGCAAGAGAAGGTAACTCTGTCAAGGATTTGTTTTAAAAATTAAGGCCTTTTATCGACTTAGAATCTTGGTTAAGTTTTTAGTACCAGTCCACTTTTTGACTGAACTGTTTGAGATATTAATTTGAAAGTTGGAATACTTGTTTACAATCATGATTCCCAAACATGTCCAGGAGAAGGTAATTCTGTCAAAGATTTTATTTGAATTATTGCCATTGTTCACTTTAAAAATACAGAGATTCTTGTATTGCCTTTTACTGCAAAAACTTTTTTTATTGGCAAGCAATAAAAAAGTCGAGCGCGCTGTCTTACGGACAGCTCTTGTTAATTTTGCCCCTACCTTCTCCGAATCTCCTGACTTCCCTTCCCCTGTGCCCTTTTACTGTGGGCCTATTAATCAATCATTTTATTTCCTTTTCAGTTACTATTGTTTCTCTTTAGGTATCATTTATGTGATGATCCTATCGGTATCCATACTCTGCATTGCGCATTTCACTTTGGGGTGCTTTAATTAGGGCTTCTTGCCGCTTGTTCTTGTTGCTTGGTAGTTTGGGGGTTGCCTTCATTCCTTGTTGATGTTGTTTATCATATTTTATAAAGTTCTGTAAGCCAGAACTACCGCTGGGACAACAATAAGCAAAACGGCAAAAGCAACGCGTCCTCTCACTTAAATGATGAAAACAGTGGATAGCTTAGCATACTGTGTGCACATTTCTGATCACACCTGAATGGACAAAGACGCATACCCGCGGGGATTCGTGATTTCATCCAGAAGTCAGAACGGAAAGCCATCTAATATTCTTAAAGGCAAAATCAATTTAGTTTTGAAAATAAAGTTTGGTATTGAACTTGTATGACCAGAACTCCAAACAAATACAACAAAAACGTCACTATTTTATACAGTAGTCTTAGATCTATTTCGCGCCATAAAAATAAAATGTGAACGCGGCGGCCATTGTAGCAGACGAACAATAAATTATCACATCTATTATAGTAAATGATATCAAAATTAAAAACATATTTATTTTATGTACAACGCTGAAACTTACCAACAAGCATAGTATAGAAAAACACACTGAATTGTGTTCCTCCATGATTTCTAACGGAAGAAACTTTTGCGTTGTTGTTGTTGTTGTTTTTTTGCAGTTGTTTTCTACCCGCCTTCTGGACAATTACGTCATCACATTATAATGACGTCATACTTAGTGGAAAGCCAGTTCGATTTGTATATTCCTCTAGAAGACGGCAGTGGTTTTATTGGTTAGCATGAAATCAGCGTTTTTTTCCCTCTACTTTGGGAATAGTGCCGGTACCAGACTGATTGGGAAAAAATGCGTTATTTTGACTAAAATTGGGAATTTTTTTAATGCATTTTTTCAGCTACAAATGAGATTATACATCATGAATAAAGATAGCTAACAGCTTCTACTGTCTAGATAGAACTATTGAGTGGTGATTTATATGAATATGTTGGATTTTAATGATTTTAGAAAAGTCACTTTGCCTTGTGGGCATTTTGAACAGTCATTTTGGGAATTTAACTTTAGAAATTGGGAATTTTAATGTCAATTTTCTATTGGGAATGGTACCGTTTTAGGGTAGTAGTTATATAAAGAAAAAAAAAACACTGGAAATAAATAATTTAACTTCAACTTGAAAAAATTAGATATTTCCACTTTTTACTTTAATAATTGAAAAATAGTTAAACAAAGAATATTTCGACCCCAGTATTAGAGGCTGAGCACAATACTGTACTGGCATGCGAGCAGTTCCCGTACAAAAATCGTAGTTACTTAAACATTATTTTTTTATTACGCTCACTCACCAAAATTTGAATGTTACACATCAATATTCAGCTCGTCACACAAATCATGGAAATTCCATCATGTTCTAAACATAGAATAACCCTTAGTTATGAGGCCTCATATGGGGTACCGAAATTATCAATTATTTTGTATGAAGAGAAGTAGTTCCCGTACATAAAATCTAACCCATTATAATTATACAATTTTATTATATCGGACCTATTTTTCATTAACAATTGTTGAACAGACCATTATCTAAAAGATAAATAGATGTAATTCAGGAAATAGAGCGTAGACTTAACGCGGGTATCTATTACCCGATACCGTTACCCCAACGCATTTACAGGCAATAGCATGCTTGTATGCATGATATTTTACGCATCAAAGCCATAAAATTATATATATATAGTAATATTGTCAACATTCTGCTAATTAAACAAGTTTTCATCACATTGCCTACTTATTTGTAAACAGGTGGTATTAGTGGAAAACCCTTTAACAAGCCTCACGTGTAAGTATTTTTGCGCATGCGCGCAAGGACGGAATCCCCCAGAGAAAACAAGGTCACGTTTTGACGACGCACAGGTGAAAGTGATTTAAAATGAGACTTTATATACGTACTGCCGAACTGACACTTAGATTTTGTCTCGTTTATGTATCTGCTTGATTTGAAATGAATTTTTGATGAATGCAAGTAAAAATCAAGCGTTTAAATGAAAAATACGGGTACTGCTTCTGTACGGGAACTGCTCGCATGCCAGTAGATCTATTAAAATTAGATTTTCAGCCAGATTCACAAAAAGAGGGCAAATACTTATTTAAAATGATGTCTACAGTACAGTATCTATTACTGGATACTGTCTCTGATGTTTTCAAATATATTTTTTTTCTAGAAAAAATATTGGTGATACACTTGTCCATAACATTGTTATATGATCAAATTAACATAGATTGCAAAATCAATTGTTCATTTGAAGCAGCATATGTCATTTATGATGCATGCTTGCAAAGGACAAAGGGGGTAGATCTAGCATTGTTTGCATGTCACGAGCTAACTAACCATCAATTTCCATCATCATACTTTTAATTTTGTACCCTCATTTATCATAAGTTAGGACTTTAAAAAATGGTTATTGCAATATCAAATACCATTTGTGATTTAAAAAAAATCTGTACAAAAATATATCAGGGAATAGAGTTTTCTACCATAACGATTTGGCTGCCTACTTAATTATGATATCTGTATTCCATTCATGTTTTATTCAATTCAATATTGTGTCGGTTTTAGATCTATCAGAAAATGAAAAACTCACAATGCACATTTTACAACCGGTTCATTTTTACTTTAAAATGTTGTACATTATTATCACTGTCCTCCCTAACAAGCCGAGTCTGAAGTTTTCATGTAATTTTGCTGTTTTTAGCTCGCTTATAAAGACCTGTCACAAAGTGACATGGTGAGCTTTTGTGACCGCTTTTCGTCCGTCATACGTCCGTAAACTTTTACTTTAAACGACATCTCCCCATAAACTGGTAAGCCAATTTTATCCAAACTTCACAGGAATGTTCTTTTGGTGGTCACCTTTAAAAATTACTCAAAGAATTCAATTCCATGCAAAACTCAGGTTTACATGACAACCGAATGAAAAAAAAAAACACTTGAAATATCTTCTTTTAAAAAACGCAAAGAGCTATACTAGAGCTTAGATATTTGGCATGAGGCATCTTCAAAAATGGCCCGCCCAGGGGGTCATTGATTTTCCTTACAAATATGTATATAGTAAAAACTAAAAAAATATTCTTTTAAAAAACTCGAATAGCTAGATCTTAGATATCAAGCATGAAACATCTTCTAGAGAGTGTCTGATTTTGCAGTATTAATCAACATAATTCTACTGCGTTACTTACGCAGTAAGAGGTCTTTTTTGCACATTTTGAGCTCTTTTTTGATAATTTACATAGATTGTTAGCGGCGTTTGCAATGTGTAAATTATTGTCTTTAAGTACATTTTCAAAATTTTCATGAAAATCAGCATTATAATGGAGGAATGCTGCTTAAATATATATGCCAGGCTTTTCGTTCAATAATAAGATTCAGATTAATAAGTAAATAATATTGTAAAGTAAAACCTTATCAAAAATTATCTGTTCAAGAAACATTTGAATTTATTTGTATTTCTTGCTTTGAAGGCAAGACATGATTTTGTTTTATGAAAATATGCATATCTGAAACTTTTCGTCATATTTCTGATCGTTGTTGTATCTTATGTTAAATATGACGTTTCTTATATGATACTTAAACATGTACGTATGGACGTATATATGTAGAGGTTCGAGTATACCTCTATCATTTGCTTCAACGTGAAAATTCACTTTAACTATAATTTTCCGTAATCATATTTTTGTGATAAATAATTGAGATTTCGAACAACATGTACAAGTATACGTGTTAATGCTTATACTTATTTTGATTTGTTTTGATGATCAGCAAGATTATTAAGCGTTTTAGCGAACGCATTCTATAGAAGTAATTATAGGGATTAAATTATGCCGTTAATGGTTTCCAGTAATCAAATATTCCCTGCTTATCTCTATTCGGATCGCATAGATCTATTTGTATGGAAGAACTAGAAATGTTAGAACTATTTAGTTATAATGTGATTTCTGTAGTTAAAGGAATAATCTTGTGTCGCGCCAAATGATTTGTTCAGTTGATGCAAAAGCATGGATAATTTAACAATTGCTAGTTTCCCAGAACCTTACAAAAGTATCAGGAGTTGCGTTAACAAGTCAATCATAGTTTTAGTTTTGTTATCAATTTTAGGCAACATAATGATTATCAAAGTTATGTTGAGGAAGGACAATCGGAGTTCTTCAACATCAACTTATTTCTTGGCTTTAGCAGTTTCGGATATGTCAATTGCAGTGTTTTCATCGTTCGAGAGGTGGTTATATTGGACATTTGGAATTAATTGGTATTTTATTAATTCGCACATAACTACAGCTAAGACTATCTTTACTTTCTCTAATGTTCAAATTTCAACATGGATTCTTGTTTGTGTGACAGTTGAAAGACTGATAAGTATAACCATGCCATTTAGATTTAAATCGCTTTGCAGTGTAAGACGTGCTAACGTGATAATGTTAGTTGTGTGTGTGTTGGTTATATTTTTGAACACAATACAGTTTACTCTTATTGTTAATGTTGTAGCTGATGCTACAAATCCGGACTTTCAAATGATAGGAATGATAGAAAATGGACAAACAATAATGACAGTAATGGATTCTGTTATCTCGTTCTTTCTTCCTTTTGTTATCATCATCGTGAGCTCCATTTGTATCACCGTTCAACTTCGCCGTAACTCAAAGCAGTCAACTAGCAACAACAATCGGAATTCATCTGTGACCATGACCTTGCTGGCCGCTAACATTGTGTTTGTTCTAACATCTTCACCGTATGTGTTTCTTCACATTACAGATCACAGCGTGCATATATCTCCTTACTTATTCATGACATTGCTTGATATTTTCATTTTTCTCGCCGATATGAACTCTGCTCTTAATTTCTATGTTTATGTGTTGACTGGATCAAAATTTAGGTCAGACGTTAAGGAGATACTTTGGTTTTTAAAACGCCAGTCTTCATCGCAATGAATGAACTAAGAATTAAATTGTAACAAGGCAGTGGACAGTACAGCTATTATTTTATTAATTTTATATTAACAAAATTTTTATTAAACTCCGCCCTTCCTTGATAATCTTGTTTTTCGTATTCGTCTCCGTTACACTATCTCTTAGTTAGCAATGACCGGTATTATATATATTGAAAATAATTACCAAAAATCTATATTCACAATTTTTCTAGTTTTTTTAGCCCCATCTTGCTTTTGGTGTTTTACCTAAAAATATGTCTGTCACTGAGGAGCCATGGTTTTATTTCTGTTATACGTTCAAAGAGAGAAAATAAGAATCCCTAAAGAAAGGTCCAAAAAACGGCAAAAAATGAAAATGTTGCAGGCTCGATTTTATTAAGCCTTTTCATAGACGGTACTGTCAAGTGTGAACTTCGTCAACTCTCCCTAGCGCCGACGTAAGCAATGGTCAAAGTCTACCTATCAATCATATCAAGATGTGGTATCATTTTTTTTTCGGATTAACTGATTTAAAAAACTGTAAAACAACTGAGCATCCATTTTTTCACAAATAATTTCACTCATATTTTCACAAGTGATTTTAAGCTGATGTAGAGAAATCTAGTTACAACAAAAATATCGTTTAGTAAAATGCACACTATTTCATATGAGCTTATGTTGCAGGCTTGGCTTGACGGAGCCAGGTCATTGGAGGCTTAATGCAAGCCATGTAGACAAACACGCCATTAGAGGACTGCAAGTGCAAAAAATAATATTTCTAAATCATCATTTATGTATACGTTGTTATATCCAAAGTATTTATTATTGCCCATATGTACAGTGGTTAAATATGCGTTTGTATAATATCTTTCATTACACAATAAATTGACATTCTCTAGTGTTGTAATATGAACCGTTTCACGACAAAACCAACATAGTGCGTTTGCGACCAGCATGGATCCAGACCAGCCTGCGCATCCGCGCAGTCTGATCAGGATCCATGCTGTTCGCTTACCAACTCTATTACAAGTAGAGAAACTATCCGCGCAGGCTGGTCTAGATCCATGCTGGTCGCAAACGCACTAAAAAAAAACAAGAATAAAGATCAACAAGGCAAAGACAACATTCACAGGACGCGGCCCCCGACACACTTAAGGTATTAGGACCCTAATGGGCACTATCAGGAACTAAACAATTGACATCATAGGTCAGATGTATACCTTAAAGTACACCTGTATGCAAAATTTAAACAAAGTTTACCGTACGGAAATCAAGTTATGGCCACTTTTCTGAACTCAAGCTAGGATGTTATGAGGACCCTTTTTTAGAAATGAGGAACCTTTAAATAATCTGCAATAACATTCTAATGAAAAATGTTTTCCCATTAATTTTTGGTAAGAAACAAATAGTACCATTTAGCTAACAATCCACATAAGCAAAATTATGGTTTCTACTTGAAATTTATGAAATCTGTATAAAAATGTTACTCTACCCCACCCATTTTTACCACTTGTCTGACCGTTTTTCTACTTAGGGAGCCTAATTTAAAAAATTCTTAAAATTTACCCAAATGAGTGCCTGTTTTCAAAGTTTCCCTAAATTTTTAAAAAAGTATATTGGTTGATCTTGTAAAATATGAAATACTTTTACCGTCTAGTTTTGATTATATTACACTTTGAAAATATCAGGTACCATATTTATTACTAGATTAAGCATAATTTAGCCTATAAATACCTATATAAATTAAAAAAATCAAAATCAAACACTTTTTTCTTTACAAATGGGACATGAGAGATACATAAATAATGTTAAAAGAAAAAAAGAAAGAAAAAAAAAGTTGACCCTTCTGGGGATTGAACCCATGGCCCTCATTTTCAATGTAGTTAACAGTAGTTCTAGCCTATTTGAATACTCTTCAAAGCGGAGGTAATGCATTAGGATGCTAATACCTTAAGTAGGGCGCCCAAAAGGCAGTTGGTTTTGTCGTGACGCGACTCAAATGTAGTAATTACGGCATTGTGTACCGTACGTGGGTTCGGACGGTGAAGAAGCGATGGAATGTTGGTAATATGTAGAGATAACATGGCTTATGCATACTTGTTTCTTAATGGGCTTGTGCCAAGGTAGTTAAAACAGAATTAGAATATGTATTAAAAGTTGTTTATTTTGTGACTTTTACATAATAGAGGTAATTCTACATAATAGATCTCTGAAGGAATTCCTTTAAATTATTTCAATTTCGGTAAATTCACACGGCACATCTCTGTATTTAAATAAGGTATTTGACCTTTCGTAAATAGACAAAATTAGGTTGTTAACATAGACCTTTTCAATGTTTTTTTAACATTTTTTATAATATTACTGCTCTCTGATGGGTCTCAATTGAGACTTATTTACCTTATTATAATTCTGGCAAATTCTAAAGTAAGGGATAGATTCATCTTTCTAGAGAGAGACTTGTTCCTTTCATGGTAAATGGTACATTTTTTCAACATATTGCAGGAATATTAAAATACGTGTACATGAATAACATGTATAAATATTATTGCCATTAAAGTTTTAGTACTTCATTTGCGAATGAAATTCATAATTAAGCTTGCGTTTTGTGTACCATTAATATAAATGCAATGTTTGCCATTTTTTCTTTTCTTTTAATCTATTTTTTTTTAAAAAGGCCATAAACTAGTTTTTTTTTTTGATTTCCCAGAAAATCGCAACAATAATTTATGAAGACACCCGTTCAATTTCACCGTCCTCATTTTAACAGACTCTGGATATTGTTTATGCCTAGATAATCTTCAGGAGACACGCAAGTGTTATAAAAACAAGTGAATGAAATTTTTGTGTCATTTATTTTATAATAATAGTATGGTAACAACGAATATCTTTAAAAAAAGATACCCGGCAGAAGTAAAACTGATTAACTTGTATAAGTTATTTCTAGTTTTTGATAAATATCATATAAAAACCGTTTTGTAAACATAAAAAATAAATTATAAGCATATTCATATTGATGTCTCTTCAAAGTAGGACAACTTCTAGTTTGCAGTATATATTTAGTTGTCCCTGTTACTTCAGTTCTTCATAAACTTTGTAATCAATCATATATGCATATGAAAGTTTATAAATAAAAACTTTTTGTTGGCATACTAAATCACGTACTGAGGGAATACTGTAAAATACTGAAAATCCGAACAAAGTCATATAAAAAGCTATGTCATGGCATCTCAGTCATTAGATCTGAATATCATTGAAAATATCTGGTTGTATAGGAAGAGGAAAATTGGCAAAAAGACTGACATTGATTGATTCTGAGGGTGATCTTTTCAACTATATTCAAGACATTTGGACCAGCATTTCACCTGAGCACATTAATTCAGAACCTGTATATCCCAAGAAGAATAAAAAAGTAGATCAAAAGGACATGTAACGAAGTATTAAGGTAAGGATCGTTCATTATTTCCTGCAAAAGTTTATTTAGTTGTTGCTGTTTATCAATTTTTGAAATTGCGGTGAGAATCCAATATGGCCGCCATTTTAACCTATACTTAAGGTATGTTACTGTAGTTTTGAATAAAATTTAAACTACTTAAACCCCAAAACAAACTCTCAAACCTGCCCATGTTTTGTTTTATGCCCAAAAGCGCAACACTATAAAAACGGTCACATTGTTTCATGAAAACAACCATTCGGGAAAATACTGCCACTAGATCTACTTGAATACAACCTGACCTCGAGAGCAAAATGTTCGGGCAAATAATAGCAATCCTCGCTATGCTTGTTTTGTCAGCAGAAGCACAGAGTGAGTACACTTTTATATTCTACTAGTTTATCATTCCAATAATATATATACATGTATGTTTTTTATATTTAAAGTGACATTATGCCTTTTTTTTCATTGTCAGGTTTAGTTAAATTAGTAATATACTTATATCTATATACATGTAGTAAAATATTGGCTACTATAATTGTGATTGTCTGATCCTTTATAATGTAAAAAGTTTATAATACTGTCTGATCCTTTATAATGTAATAAGTATTTCTAATTATATTTCAAAGTAAAATAAAATTGAACATAATTATGTCAAAATGTCAAATTATTTTCATTATAACCTGTTCACTGACTATTTTCACTTGGATTGGCATAATGTCACTAAAACAGTTTTTGAAGAAAAAAAGATTCCTGTAATATTTATTCTTCCAGACAAAGCTTCTTCGCAAATATCGAGAGCAACCTTTTATCACGGTTTGGAATGACTTCTTTTTTGTGAAATTTTGACATATTAAAGCGTGTGTCGCTTAAAAAAAGGCAGCAGTTTTATCTAGCCCTTACACTGCCAGAAAATTGAACTGATTGCCCTTTGCCGCCATTATAGAGGCAGTTCCGCTTCAACAATCAACTCTAGTTGTCTTACTTTAACTTTTCATCTTGAAATCCAATAATTGCCGAGATAATAACAAGTAAATGTACATTTGAAAAATTCAGCAGGTGAAATGAAAATCTAAACATTGTTATCAAAGGTAAAAGATCTTATCTATCCTTAGAATCCCCAGGAACAATAACCCGGAGTCAAATATGCTAGAATCTCTATTTCATTAGTAACGTGGGGAGGGGATGAAAATTATAGGAACTCGGGGGATTAAGGAACTGCATATTGCGGCGCAAATTTCCGATCTTGTACTGGATTTACATATTGTTATGATTTTTATTTTACCGTCAAATCGGCCAGTGTTTTTAAATAATATTATACGCTTACAGGCCGTGCACTAGGATAATTTATATTTAGGAAAAACAATTTAAAAAGCCGATCAGCAATAAGAGTCGCAATCTGTAAATGCATTTTGCATAAAAGTATCTCTTCCCCAAGATAATAAAAAATCTTTACATATTTTTAAAATATGTTTTGTTTTGTTATTTTTTGCACATAGGGATTAAAAAGAAATTATTCATACATTTTATAATCATAATTATTTTATTTTATTATATTTTTTGAATACATGTTTATTCAACGAAAAACATGCATCTTATATTTTGATAATCATTTTATTAATGCCAATTCATAAATTAAAACTATATTAAAAAGCTTGGTTTTTAAGAACAAATAGACAAATAGCTGTATAAGATTTTCTTCTCAAAGGCACATTATGCCTGTGATATTCATATTCTTAAACAAAATCTTCAGAAAGGTCAAATATGTGTTAAGTATTTTATGTCAATTGATTAAGAGCATATCAAATGTTGAAAATAACTCACGGTAGTAGCGCTGAACGTACACTTTTTTGAGATTTAAAGAAAACCAGATTCCTTAAATCTTTTTTTGCCATAAGTACTATTTTGACTTCCATACAAATAATAATTTACAATAATTATACCGATTCCAAACAGAGCTGAAGTAGCTATTTAAAGACATTTAGTTTAAATAGAAAATGAGTATTTTATTTAAAAACTGTAACAAGATTCTTAAAATCGAAGGTTCTTAGGAAATAAAATTTGTAGCATTTCAGAAGCATTATGGGCATATAACGGACGTTTGACATTATTTTCATATATACATACAGCCAGACCGAAACTCTCTTATAGATTTTATATAAATTTTGCATTATGACAAAAATATTTTAAATGAAAGAAATGGCAGTTGACGAAATCGTTTTAGAGTTTTCCGCCCTTGAAGTTTAATTGTTTGCTGATATTATGGGCAGATAATGAAAAAATTATGACAAGCAAAAAGACTTCAGCGAACGTCTTTAATGGGTTTATATCAAGAGCAGGTAATTCAATAATATGATAAGAAGAAAACTGTAACAAAATCTTTTTTCTTCCTTTCCAGGTTCGGAAGCTGCGGCTTGTGCCGAATGTATGCACCTCAGTTACGAATTAAGAAACGTACCGTCTTATATTGGTACACTTCTGGATTCAATGTTTTCCAGTATGATGAATCCGGCATGCGAAGCCAATACCGTACAACCGCAAACATGTGAACCTTTGCAGTTCCCTGCTTGGATGGAGCACAAATGCATCTTTACACAAGTAACGCTGATGGCTTCTAATCTGATAGGATTGATTCCAAGTTAGTGGTTTACCTATTTATTCACCGGACAGTTTTAATTCTTGACAACATCGGCGTTACTCTTAGTCCTTACTATGATTTTAACAATAGTGTATGGAAATTAATAATATAGGAATGAATAAGGCACAAAAGCCGATCGTAAAAACATATAATTAATTAGTTCGGTGTAAGTTGATGAACTTTTTTTACTTTATGCCCTTTACGATCATCGCAGATTTCCTTATCACGATTTTGAAACTATCTTTTCAGAATTCGTTTTATTACTCAAGGTCGTCTTAACACAAAATTAACCAATTTGAAAATGATGCATGTCATTAAAAGCTACCTTTCGAAATCTTTAAATTCATTCAAAACAAACCCTTTGTTACAATACTCAATGAATTTATACTTTCCGATAGTTGAATTACTCCGTGTGTGCATTTTAATCAAATCTTAATAAAAAGCTTGTTAAAAGAATTAAACGATTAAGAATCTTCAAAATGCACATGTGTTACTTTTCAGACGCTGAAATGGATGTGACAGTTACAGTTAGAGGGGGCTGCCACGCGCAGTGGCAAACTGACAGTGATGGAGACGGTTGTATCAGTCTGTCGGAACTAGACGAAGCCACACAAGCCCAACTTACACAACAGCTTGCTTCACTTTCAGCACAATGGGAAACCGTCACCTATTCCGGTTCAGTTTGCATGGAATCACCTTGAACTTATTACTTATTGTTTTCGTCAAATAGTCAATAAGTTTTATTTGAAATAAGTCATCTAAATATATTAAGCTTTCTTGCTGTTGTTGCTTGTTTTTTTCTTTTCAATTTTTGGCACAACAGTTTATTTTGCAAGTGCTAGTGCTCAGGATATGAATGTTAAAAACACAGATTGAAAGGAGAACCGCTTTATTTATATTTTTTACTTTAATCACAATATTTATCACATTCACCGTTGCTTTAACCCGCTTTTTTTGCCTGGTTCCAGTCTGGGTTCGATTTTTTATGTGCTTTTTTCCCCAAAATCG